TCCTACCCCATCTCCCCAAGTGCACCTGTGTTTCATTCAAGGAGCTCCGGGTAGAGAAGCGGTCCCTTCTAGGGAACTGGTGCCATCTTAGGGGGTTGGGCAACCACACAACCAATGATCAATTGATCTGCATCCTCAAAAGGGAAATTCTTTGACGTTTCTCCCCCCTCCCCCCTGCTCCGGTAGGTTATGAAAAAAGCCAGCTCTGCCCTGCAAAGGAAGCCTCTAGAAGGATCTCACCACATACCTCCACAATAGGGTAATAGCAATAGTTCCAGTACCAAAAATTTTTGGAGAACTTCTCAGTCAGGTGGGACTCTGGCACAAAAGGATGGAAAGTCTCTCTGCCCTCTGTGTCACGGGAGTCCCCAGCCACCACTCCCATCTTCTCCATGCACTGGCCCAAAGCCAGGTCCTCCACCGAAGTGGTGTGGCTGCACACCTTGGAGTCAAAGCCAGCCACAAAGCGCCGCAGGGCCTCTTTGCTGAGGATGTAGCCGGCGCCCCCGCTCATGTAGCCTTGCTTGGCAAAGGGACGGAAGCGCTTGCCAAAATAGATGGGTGTGTCAGGAGTGTAGTTGGAAATCAGCCACCGCAGATTGTCCACCACCACAAAGGTGTCGTCGTCCGCCTTGAGGAACCAGTCTGCCTGCTCAAAATGGTGCTTGTGGACGTACTGGAAAGCGCGGATGGTTTTCCAGTACAGCTGGTCCCGGCCTTCCTTGGTTCCCAGACCTATAGTGGGAAAGTTCTCATCTTGGACTGAGCTCATGAAAAGGACCACATTGCAGTGGCGGGACCAGGTGGCCTTCACATGGCGGGCCTTTGTCTCCAAGTTTTGGGGGCCAGTCATCACCCAGCACAGGATTCGTACTTTATCATACAGATCATCAGACACGCTGCTCTCCTCACCTGAGGAAGAAAAACAATGAGAGTTACGATTTCCCAGCCCAGCCCCTCCAGTCATTTGCCTAATTTAATGGAGGAGGATTTTGAGGAGCATTTGGCCAGGGGTTCTGAGCAGTTCTGAGACAGCATACTGGGCACAGCCGGAAAATGGCTGCCACAGAAGGCAGAGCTAG